TTAAAGCGCGCCTACCCCAATTAGTGATATATATATATATATATATATATATATATATATATATAGTGCTGATAAAACAAATTTATGGGATAATTTCTTTACCATAAATTATTTAGCTCTAAAAAAATACATTGCACATCTTCCTCTTGGAACATATGTTTTAAACTTTCTAATTAAGGTTAATTTTCTAAATATAGACATATACTTTATATTTAACATTTACTTTTCTGGAGTGAAAAGTAAATATTAATGAAAAGTCACAATAAGATGAATAGGCAGTAATGCTAGTGTTGCTCCTTAGTTTTACAAAGCAATTTAGTTATTAGATTACTTACAATGGTCTGAATAATGGATGAGACTCTAAGATCATTAACTGTAAATAGCACCAAATTAGGTAAAATAAGTTTGAAACCCAAATTAAATATTTTAAACACTGATAAATTTAGGAAGTTTTGATAGAGTTATTAGTGTTAGCTTAAAAAAAAATCCTGCTCAAAAAGAACAAGTAGAATTTATTTTTACACTAGCATATCAAAAATACCTGGTAATTTGCTAGTGAGGGAGAGTAAATAATGCACAACTTAACATTTATTAGTGCTAATCAGGGCACAGATTTTCTCATTTAATCCTCACTGCAACTCTCTAAAGTAAGCATGTATATTATCTTTATTTTCTATATGGAAAAACTGCACACAGAGTTGAAATAATTTGTCAGATCACACATCTAGTACAGAGGAACTTCAGAAAGTTTGTAGAATATGTGTATTAGGAAAACACTATGCATGGATTTCAAAATAATTTGGTACTCTAATAAACTTACACTTTAATTACATTTTTTTATGAACTTTTTGAAATCCTCTCTTAAATGGCAGTCAGGAGCTTCTGAACTCAGCCTTCTTACAGATTCAGTCAATCTACAAAGAGGCATTACTGTTTTACAGGACAAATAATATAAATTCAAGAGAAAAAAAAAGGGAGTCTGGTTAGGAGTTGTGATAATGAATCAAGAATGTCTTGTCCTAAAGCAAAAGGAACCAGAACTCATCAGAAGCCCAAAAGAGAACTAAAAATTGAACAGCAAAAACGTCTTTAAAAGGTCAGATAAGAAGACAAATGTTGAATTCATGGCAACATTTCCAAGATAGAGGCTATATCATACCTGCCTAGACTCTGTTCTCTTAGACATCATTCCACACCCTCCTTTCATTCCCTTGAGATCATTACAGCATCATTGTACATTCATAGAATTAATATGTTGTACAGATTCTGGGTGGAGCTATGCCCTGGCAATCTTAAGGCCACAGAGGTTACCTGGAGTACGTAGAGGACTCCATATTAAAGAATCCATCTTATAAATCCTACCCTGGTTCCCTCACTAACCTCCCTTCCTATTGTTCCCTACCCCTCCCTTAATGCATGCTTGGTGGTTTCAAGCAATCCAGGTATGCTCCGGTCCCATAGAGTTGTAAATCAGGAAATTGCTTTTGACTATTAGACTGACTGAATTAGTGAGTGATTACCACTTTAATAAAAACAAAAACAAAAATAAAAACAAAAACCAAGAATAATACAATGACTAAACAGAAACTTGTACCTGGATCTTTTCAATCATTTGGGGGAGTATCTAATTTACTTTAGGAGGTGTTATTACTCTTTCAATAAAATTAGAACACTTGTAGTTATAAAGTGGGAAGGAAGAGACTTCTCTTCCAGAAGAGTTCGTAAAATTTCCCATCGAATACTGAGCACCTGTAGCTTGCTGTAATAGGGAAATAGCTTAATAGCCCCCCTCTAGTTGTTCCTAGAATCAAAGATAACTTGAAATTGGAGACAAATATATGTCCTTGACCTTTTTTTCAAATCTATTTTTCTAGCTGAACTTCTAAAACTGTAAGAAGTGGAAAGTGGGAAGATGCTTACTAGGCAACATGTTACAGATTCCAGGTCAGCTGGTCCAGATTACAAAGCCCACCACTTCCATGAATCTAACCTTAGGGAGGCATAATGGCAGAGGGTAGCTTGTCTCAAATCAGAAAAGGACCGTGCTAAATCCTTTTCTGTTTCCCAATTCAGGGAAATGGGCTCACATGAACCACACAAAGGTTTGGTTCCCTTGTCTATTACTGAGTCAAGAAAGAGCTTTGAAAAAAAATTAGTTTTTATGTATTAATTTTTTGTATTCATAGAAAAATTGTATCTGACATAGGAAATGTGTTTTTAATAAATTTATCATTAGAATACTACATTTTTTTCTTTTAAAGTGAGTTGATATAAAAATACTAAGAAAATAATAAAAAGGGTACACAAACATGGTAATAATCCTAAAGCTGGTATGTGCAGGTGTGAGGTTAGAAAACCAAGTCTATGATAGTACGTATAGAATTGTCTCATTCTCTTTTTAAATACTGAATTTTTTAAAAGGTTTTTGCCATAGGGCATGTGAGCTCACTAGAGAGAGACAAAGAGAAGAAAAGTGAGAAATCACCCTTTAGGGGTTTGCCACGCCTCTGTCCATTCTCCATTCTCCTCTTGGGATTTTGGGCACACACACACACACACACACACACCTGACTTGACTTTCAAGTTGCTGGGTCTGGGACTTGAACTACAGTGGGCCATGTGGGAGTCTAGTGCCTTAACACTACACCACCTGCTGGCCCCTATTGATTACAATTTTATAATATGGTTAACTATAATAAGAATTATGGAACATTTGTAAGTATTTTGTCTTCAGTTTAGAAGGTTATAAAATATAAGGGTTTTCCCTCATACCTTTACTATTCCCAGAAATGATAAAATTAAAAATTATTTTTGCTGCTTTTGGTTGTTATTGTTGATGGTGCTTGTTTTTCATTAATTTCTCCTTTGATCATTAGCCATTCCTTTTTTTGCTTATAGGTTTTATAACATAATTCTCTTTCTAATTTTTCAAGGTGATTTTTTTAGATAATTTATTTGTGTTAATTTTACTATCATTTGAGAATAAATTCTCAAACAAGTATAATTGACTATTATTTTGACTCTGTCTCACAAGGTTTAATATATAATTTTCTAGTCTAGACCATCTGTTTTGCTCCACTGATGTTTTTAACATTTATTTCTATGTAGTTTGTAATTTAATTCTGATTTTCTTTCTAATTCTACACTAGAGTAGGGAAATTTGGAGCATTTAATTTTGAGGCTATTTTGCTTAAATCCTCCCAGTGTCTCTGGATATTATACACTAATTTCAGATTTGGTTGTATTAATTTTTATTTTTTATAAGATTTTTGTTGATATGTGCAATATTATAAAATTAGCATACACCTTTTCTTTGCAAATATAATTACTATGCACT